TCAAGGAAAATGCTGATTTGCAGTGCCCTGGAGCAGTAAAATTAACAAAGCAATACAAAAAAATAATATAAATCCCAGCCAGCAGAAAAAAATTGTAGGTTCTGCTAGTGATGTATGGCTGGGTCGACTTATGGTACCTACTTACTAATCATGTAAAGAGGGATAGTGGCGGCTAGGCCATCTGGCTTGAATTAGATGTGTACTGTACATATTGTACATAAGCTCTTATTCTTTGCCTCTACTGATAATGAGGTGGTGTTATTACAATACCCTTGTAAGCAATGCAATATGACCCCCAGACAATACAACCTGGGGTTAAACATTAATTCTACACAATGCATCACATAAGGACTGGAACCCAAACAGAAAGGGATAGAAGGCATGTTTTTTTACCAAATTGTAATAATGCCTGTAAATCACTTAGATCTTGCTAAATCTGGTTTTTGTGAAATGATTTCACACAAATGTAAAATATAATACTTCTCTCAAGATTTACATTGTATCCTACCTCAATAGCAATTAATTCTAAGAAAATGAATAGAAGTCAGAGCATTTTGAATCTGCATCCAATAAAGGTACACAACTTTAGAAAAATTATATGGTTTCTAAGTAGAACCTCTACATGCTATGAATAGTTGTTCATGCAGTCCTGAAAATATTGTCTCATTTCTGTAGACTTACCCTGAAAAGCTGTTAATTGGTCCAGACAGCTTATCTGGTTATCTCCCCTTAACACTTCAAAAATGGCACCTCAGAAGCTCTACAAAATATAAATGCCAAAAATAAGTACATAGCGAATATTCTTTAATTCCCTTTTAATGCTTTTAATGGATGTATGAATTGTGATTTATACAGTGAATGTTATACATGTATATGATATGGTAAATTTCCATGTAAAACATCAAAATCCTTTTGTACATTTCTTCCATATAGTTTTTGATATGTAAGCTATATATGACACTTCAGTCATAAAATTAATATAATTAATTTTCAAATTCATAGCAATTTATATCATTATGCACACTTATAAACATAAATGAAGATAGGTATATTTTTGTAAACATAGGAAAATTGGGAGTGTTAAAGTCATTTAAGCCTACAAAGTAAAATTTCTATATCCAATAGCTTTGTGAATCCAAAAACTTAACCACCTTTAGTTAGGGAATGTTTGAAGTGAAATTCTAGGTTAACACTGCACAGGAAACTGATATATGGAGGACTGGAAAATATAACCCTTACCTTGCGACATGCAGAAATAAAACCCAACCCAGAGAGAGGCAGAAGATCAGAGACAGAGAAGATACAATGCATAATCAAAGACGCAAAATAGATCCATATGAGAGGCCCTCCAAGGGGGCAACAGATTACAAAAAGGTTATGATATTTTTTTCCAAAACATATGGAGGGAAAAAAATAAGAGAACAGATCTTGAGTGCTGATGTTCTTAAAGCAATATCACAAATCATTTATGGTCTGATTCTATGTAATTTGTAAACCCTTTAATTAATTAATCTGGCCTCAATTGTGACATTGCATGAACACAACATTCATGTCGGTGATTATGGTTAACAGATGCCAATAATTGTCTGCGAGTTTTCTGAGGGTTTTTAGCTCTTTCTCTTTTTTTTAAGGGTCAACATGCATGCATAAGAAGAACAGGTTGTCTTAGCAAAAAACAAATTATCTGTCGTAAGGTAACATTTAATCAGGACAAAAGGTCACTGTTGGAAAGATAATAATCCCTTCTTTCTACCTAAAGCAGAGCTGGTCATGCAGTTATGGAGGAAAAATGACACCAATAAACATTCAGTGAATCTTAATAAAAGAATTTCAATTATAAAGGTTACAGATCTTAAACTAAGTCAACTTGACTCTCAATCCATAATCTGAATGAATAAAATAATTTAACCAGCTTTTATCAATGTTCAATAGGTCAAAATCAGGATTCTTGACTTACGAGGCACTAAACCTCTTAAAAAATAAAATTGGCTTTGCAGTCAAACTATTACAACTTCTAATCCATTGCCACTTAAAAAGATATGCATGATGGTACTTGATTTTAATATCATTTTTCATATGCAAATATTGGCCTGCATCTCAAAATATACTGTATACATCTGCTGCAGCAATAAATGAACCCTGTGTTGCACCCCATATTCTATCTATGAATGTAAGTACATAAGATATTTGCCTGGTTAATTGGTAAAACCTGAAGTATGAACACTTGGATAATTGTCAGAGAATACCACTGACATTATTCCATAGCCCCTACTGACACATTGGAACAGTTTGTCATACCACTGTAAACCAAGATTTTTCCAGACTGTTAGCATCATTGGGTCATATTTTAAGTGATTAAAATGTTAAGTGACTAAAAATTACCAATTGTTAAGCCATTGCTTTTATATGGAATTTGACTGCAGAGTATTTGTCTATCTGAGCAATACATAGAGCTCATGGCAGGTGTGTCCGATCAACAGGGGATGCTTACTCCTCTTAGACACCTGGTCTCACCTCTAGATTTCCAAGCGTCTGTGTTTTATTTCCTCTTCACAGATTTATACTATTTTAAGTTTTTTCAGACTGATCATTCTTCATTTAAACTTTACCCTTTTCGTTGTTTTAAATTGAAAAATTTTCTTTTAAATTTACCTGTTGCCAAAATTATTTCAAGCATATACATGTAGCAAATTCAACTGCCCAATTAGAATCTTTTTTTAAATCAGCCCCTTTTTACATTAATTAAAACAGTAAGATGACTCAACATAGACTAGGACCTCTGTGTGTTGGTCTAGGACATTTTACCAACCCAGAGACAGTGGTTCAACATGGAATGTCAAACACGATCTGTTACTGCATTAACCTGTTACAGGGTGTTAAACCCAACAAATGACCAGATTAACTAAAGCTAGATCTGTATTCACCAATGTAATTTTAGAGATAAACTATACTGATGCCAAAATTCTTACCCAATTCATATTATAGACTTGGCATGCTTGTGTTTAATTAGGAAAATGGTTTGAGGACATCCAAAGATCAATTTCATAAAATGTTTCATTTGTTACAGTAAACATAGCATATATGGGCAATCCATTTGAACATATTCTTCTATATGCATCATAAACACTGAAAGTGTGCTTTAACCAAAACCATTCAAATCCTACTGCCATTTGACATGACCTTAAAATGACCATGTCCTTGATTTTTATGAATATCATGCATGGGTTCAAAGTCCTTGTTATCTCTGACTATACATTAGAAATATTACTGCAAATCACTTTTTATTCGCGAGAACATTATTTTCGCATAATTACGCGAGACAGTGTGCTCACGAAAATTTAATTCTCGCGTATAATAGCATTCCTTATGATTATATAGAGCAATAACCACGATTCGCGAAAATTTTGTCTCGCTAAACACGAGTCAATGACTATCTTGCAAAAATAAGGTGTCTCGAAAATTTAGTGATCTACAGTACTTCACCAGATGTACACAATGATAGACAAAAAGCAAGACAATTAAGTATAATAGACAGACAGCAATGACATTAACAAAAACAACAATTCACACGGAAAAATTCACGACACAGACAGCAATTCCATTCAGACCAATAGACAGCAAGGATAAACAGTCTGACAGAGGGCAAGGATATCCAGACAAAGAGAAATAGAATAGAAAGACAGCAAGCTACTAAGATGGACAGATCCAGGAGCAAGACTAAAAGGACAGACAATCAGACAAAAACATCATACAGATTGATAGAAAGACAACAAGGTTAAGCAAAAGGAAAACAGCAAGGCTATAAAGTTTAATAAAGACAGATAGTCAGATATGTCATGTAGATTAATAGAGAAACAAAAGTTTAATTTAATCAACTGATAGCCAGTCAGTCAGCATTGCCAATATAGTTACTAAGATTCAGTTTTGAAATGCTATATGGCAAACACTGCATGAACCATGTTCCGAGCCAAAATTAACCTACTCTAGAAATACATGTACACTGTTGGGTTTGAACTTAACATAAATCTACTAATGATGAGATTCTGAAAAAAAAATTCAAATTACAAATTGGCACATGAATCTTGTGTAATTAAAGATTGAGTATCTGAATGTTGCATAAACCTTCTGCGTTGCAACTTAAACATTGCATTCAAAGAATTTTGCTATCTACGAAATCTTGGATTGAGATTTGACAGTGTTCTCTTCAAGTCTGCCTGTTAACTAGAAATAGTAACAAGTGTTGCCAAAAATACCCACAAAAGCCTTAAAATAAGAAGTGAGTAGCATTCACCAACAGTGATAAATGCTGCGTCTTTCATCGCTTTCATTAAAAGTCCCGCACCTCAGATCTCCACATTTTTTCCTTATTCAAAATAAGGAGAAAATGCGGACGGGAGTATTTGGACTAATTTTCCGCATTCATTCCAGATTTTCGTAGATTCAAATTTCCAAATTTTCTCCGTATTCAAAATATGGAGAAAATGTGGATGGGAGTATTTGGACTCTTTTTTATTCTCTCCAGATTTCCGCATTTCCATATATACAAAATATGGAGGTATTTACTTGGTTGATAAAATGCGGAAATACGGAAATCTGGAGAAAATACGGAGTTAACCACATGGTTATAAAATAGCTAATAAAACCGCTACATGATGCATACATACATAAATATTTACAAAACCATCAACAATGTGCAAAATTATATACAATTTATTATATCATTATGAGAAAAAAACATAAATGAATGAACAAAATTACACATTGTGTTCATTAGCAATGTATTGGATCTTATATCTTTGACAAACAAATAGGAGCATGTATGGAAAAAAAACTGGAACTCTTATTTAAGCCACAAGTTCATCATGGAAAAAATGTGGCATTTTTTAATGTTCATATTAAATAAATGGAAATTTATTCATTCTATCTAAGCAAAAGTGGGAGTGAAATGTTCAACACTATTAGATATTGGGGAAAAAATAACAATTGACATAGCATTGAATATTTACAAAACAAGAAAGAATTTTAGACATTTTTTATCAATCTGTATCACATTTGCCATTTTCTACCTGCATCCCTGATTCATATTTCTCACAATTCAATTTATATCTCAGGTCTTTGCTTTACACCCATCTGTCCAGTAAAAATTTTCTTCAGACTTCTTTGTAAATTGTAAGGTCACTGCATGTTTAATTTCTTGCAGCAGCACTTGCAGTCGAATTGGCAAATCCTATCAATTAAAAAAAAAAAGTACTTAAATTATAACGGTGCAATATTAATAAAATTTAAATTCATTGCTTTTATTCCTTTTAAAATCTTTTTATAAACACAAGTTTGGGTTCTTCAATTTTATATTAATTTGTTTAAAATATTATTTATAATAATGAGAATCATAGTTGACTGTTTTTAGTTAAACAAGCAATAAAAAAAGAAAAAAAAGAATATATATACCTCAAACATAACCATCCATGGACCAAGCTTCAAGCCTGTTAAAATCGCAGTAAGTTGAATAAGCACTAATTCTTTTTCAGAAATCTCCTCCTCATGCACAGACACTACCAAAAAAAAAAAAAATGTATGGTAAATCATTGCTAGAGATTACACCCCATGGCTCCCCAAAATTAACACCTTAATTGTGGTTAACCATAATAAAATTCTATGAGCTGATTGAAAGATTTGAATCATGGGCATATTGGCTGAAACGTACGTAGCCTGGTAGCTCAGTCCTAGGCCTAGAGTATTTCTTTTCATCATCACAGTGACACACATGTTAAAAAAAATATGACTGACCTACCGCGTATGAAATATGTGTATCTGCATCTTTTGGTTGATACAGCAATACGATCTCAGGCTGTCTGGTCAACAAACTTCTTCCTTTAGACAGAGCAGACGTTGCAACATGGAAGCCAAGGTTAAATTTGGCGGTCTGTTGTTTAAATTAATTGATCACTGAGCCCGACTTTTTGAAACATTCTTCCGATCCCGATCAAATTGTACATAACATTCAGGAGAAACAGAGAACTGCTGTTAACTCCAAGACAGTTTTTATGCACCCAAATTTTTTCGGGGTGCATATTGTTTTTGTCCTGTCTGTCTGTTTAGCTGTATGTCTGTCTTTTTGTCTGTCTGTTGTCAACTTTAACCTTCACCATAACTTTTGAACAGTGAGACTTAGAGACTTCATATTTGGTATGGATACTCCACTACAAAAACACTTTCAACTGACACCAAGGTCAATGACCTTGTGACCTTGATTGTGACCTTTATGCTAAAAATAGCTTTTTTCGAACTTTCGCCATAACTTCTGAACCGTGAGAGATAGAGACTTCATATTTGGTATGCATACTCCACTAATTAAGCACTTTCAATTGACACCAAGGTCAATGACCTTGTGACCCTGACTGTGACCTTTATGCTAAAAATAGCATTTTCGAACTTTCGCCATAACTTCTGAACCGTGAGAGATAGAGACTTCATATTTGGTATGCATACTCCACTAATTAGGCACTTTCAACTGACACCAAGGTCAATGACCTTGTGACCCTGACTGTGACCTTTATGCTAAAAATAGCTTTTTCGAACTTTCGCCATAACTTCTGAACCGTGAGAGATAGAGACTTCATATTTGGTATGCATACTCCACTAATTAGGCACCTTCAACTGACACCAAGGTCAATGACCTTGTGACCTTGACTGTGTGCTAAAAATAGCTTTTTTCGAATTTTCGCCATAACTTTTTAACCATAGATTTTAGAGACTTAATATTTGGTATGCATACTACACTAATAAAGTGCTTTCAAATGACACCAAGAACAATGATTGTGTGACCTTGACTGAGACCCATTTGCTAAAAATTGCTTTTTAGAACTTAATGTTGCCGCCACGTGCTACTGTGTTTCACAAACACATCTTGTTTTTGATGAAAAAATTCTAAGTCCAGAGCTCCGTATATTTTCCAGATGAAAAATATTCTAAGTTAAGAGTTCAATATTTTTCCAGATGAAAAATAGACTCAAGAATTCTCCGTATTATTTCCGTTTATTTTCCAGATTATTTCCGTATATTCTCTGCTTTTCCGTATTGTTAATTTTCTCCGTATTATTTTCCACATTTTTTCCATATTAAAATGAGGAAAAAATGCGGAATAATGCGGAAATCTGGAGATCTGAGGTGCGGGGTGCATCATTAAAGTCTATTTCATTAAATTACACAAATTGATGAGTCAGCCATTCAATTTCTCTGTAGACACGATCTCCAGAGCCCGAAATAATGTCTGCCTGGTTAAATCTCGGTAAATCAAAGGTTATCAAATTAATAGTTTCTCCTCTTTACAACACTAAGCAGATCAAAAGACCTGCACGGTTTACCTTAGCCTGCTGAGTGAGGAAACAAGTCAAAACTTCAGGTGTCTGTGTATTCAGAGTTTATTTAATTTCTTAAACTCTCCCCTTTCATTATTGCTCATAACCTTTTGTTGGTGCATTAGAACTACACACTAGCTTCTGATGAGAAGATGAATAAAATATAATCATACTTCATTATTAGTACATTGAATATTCTTGTCTGAAAAAGGGAGGGGGCAAAAAAAACATGCCTATGGTTTACAGTGGACCCATTATTAGGTTCCAAGTCAATTTGTCCGGATATGTGAAGCGTCCAGATACCTGAATTACCAGTTAAACAAAACAAAGTAACATTAAAAAATTTCGTTCCGATGAAAAAAACATGCCTATGGTTTACTGTATATCAGTACCCATGATAATGACAAGAATTTTAGGTAAAGTGGCATTTGTTAAACCTTTTTGAAATAATTGCAAGGTTTATATAAATGCATTATATTAAATTTACATCCAAGTTTAATTTGGGAAACTTTTTTCTTTTTTGAAGGAATGCTTCTTGTTTATACCCTGGTATATTAAAATATTATAACAGCAGGGAAATAAGATAAGTATTGTAAAATGTATTCCAAAGAAAGGTGAATGAGATCTATTAGAAACCTTGAGAAAAAAAAAAACATCCTTCAATATACAATTTAGCATAAATGTCTGGGAATAACCTATGGAAGGAATATGATAATAAGAAGGTTTGCATTTATAGATATGAATTGTGACCATGCAAGTACATGTAAAACAAATATTGGAGTCAATGAACTTATTCCAGACGGTTGGTCATTGGTATGGAGAGCTTCTAGTAGTACTGGTCCCATAAATATGGCGCTAAAATAGGAACCGCCAAAGGCGGTGTACAATATAATATGATTTGTCAGTAAATAAAAGATTGTTGGTTTCAAACTCCCTGTGGGCACTTAATGTTATGCGACAATGTTGCTTCCCTAGACAAAACACTAGATGGCCATTTGTCTTGGTCAATCCAGATGAAATGGGTTACCACCTCAATTATGCAGAGAGTAATTTAACCTGCAACTTTGTGGCACAATGTCCCTCATCCCCTGTGCGCCATAGAAATGGGGTATTATTAAGGTCTTGTCTTTATATGAGCCTCATCAATCCTCATGGCAATTACATTTTAGCAGCTAGGGTATTTCCCGATTTGGAAAAGATTAATTAATTAATTAAATAACTGCATTTACCTGAAGAATGCAATGTTCAATACTAAGTTTCTGGACTTAAAGTAACTTTTACTGGTAGCTTAAATTATGCTAAGTGTATATAATTTCTATTAATTTGAATATTCTGTGATGAAAAAAATTCAATTTTTGCAAAGTTTAGACAGCTTAAGGGTAACAGATATATTACTGTAACTTGTTAATAGCAAGGCCCAAATGCAGAAAAGAAAAATATTGTAACAACTAACAAGCACATTCATCATTTAATCAACAATTGACACATATAATATAAAATAAAATCTATCTTTCAAAAAGCTTTGCAGGGTTTCTTTTTGATAGTGAGTACTTCACTTACAAAATTAATGAAGTTACATTCATGAAAATCAGAGAGATTTTCAAAAGAGCAAACTGCTAATTACAGACCATCTGTATCCCCTCCTACCTCTTATAGAGGGCAGAGTAAACAAAACCCAATGTCATTCCTTAACCTCCAGAGTATAAATCAATCCAATTAGAGAAAACTTCAAATGAGAAAGTTTTCGGTGAGTACTAACCCAGGGAGATAGTGGCCTCTCATCAAACTTCTCCTCGAGAGAATCGTCGACTCATCTACTCTTATAAGTTATATAGAGCGCCACTCGAAAAACACTTCATACACCTGAAAAGATCAATCAACGAAACAACATTTACCTGATTATCAGCGCCTTCTGCTCACCTAAGAAGAATCCAATCTGTAATTGTAGCCAAAATAGATTTCTGACATGATTTGGAAACTGTTTAGGGTGGAATTACAAAGGAGACTGTTTGCTCACCTCATTGGTTGTCGAAAGAGGGGAAGAATTTATGGCGATAAGATTATTATCGTTTATTTTTGCGGGTCTTGTTTTTCTGTAAGGTGAGGATTGAAAAAACAGCAGGTAGTGACGGTATCCATTTTAATGAGAGTAAAAATTTGACGATTTTTTTTTTTTCTTTCAGTAAATAATGAAATCAAAATAAGAATTTGAGAAATGTAATTCCATATTTCAAAAGAAAAATCTTTTATTGAAATATTATTAAAGACATGGGTGATGTTATCAGAGAATTGTAAAGTTTAACTTTCCAATTTTAAAGTTTTTCCAAACAGAAGGTGAATGACCAATTATCTCTATAGCTGCAGCCTAACAATATAATATTGGCTTTATCTTTCAGAAGAAAATCCCAAACTTCCCTTGGCTTAAAACTGAAAACTGATAAGTACATGTGTACTGAATGATATCTGACTGTAATTAAATCCTAATTAAATTTTCACTTCTCCCCAATTTGATAAATATTCAACTGATACACAATCAACAGCATTGCCCCCTAGAATGAAAAAATTCTACATGCAAAGCTAATTTTGTATTTTGACCTTCTGACTTAAATATGACCTTGACCTGACTTTCACCTAATAAGTTGTATATTTCATAGTCTATGAGATATGGTGGTCAATAATGCAGATATATTCAGCCAATCAAATACTGGTAAACACACAGACAGTCTAAATATCAAAAATCTTTTTTTTAATTTCAGAAGCGAGGAAATTACGATATTGATTTTTCTGTCATTAACTTTTCTAATTGAAATACTAGTAGCCTGCCTAGAAATTGTTTAAATAAAGCTGTCATTTCAAATTAAAAAAAATCTTAAACCAGTGTTTCACAACCAATCTAAAGCTTCAAACATGGCAATCATTACATTGTCAGAAAATTTTGCTGAATAAGCTAAATAAATCAAGACTCTCCATGGCTCTACAAGTTTGAACAAAGTGGAAATAACAAAAATTTTCTGGAGAGCATATACTACATAATGATGCAGAAAAAAAGCATGGAAAAGCAATTTCATGGGTGGTTAACAAATTTTGATCCATATAGTTCAAAACCTCTTATCTCTATCAAGATTATCCTACATTTTCATTCAAACCTCCCAAATACTACAAAACACTTTAATCTGAATCTTTTCTGTGCATGTAAGTCAGCTTTTGAAAATGAATGAAAAATGCCCCATAGGCTTTAAAATTCGATGAAAGAACATATTTGCCTTACCATGAATGGAAAATAAATTTAATTTACAAACCTACTGCTCTAAAAAAGAAGATATATGTATTCTTTTATAAGTTAGGGCCATGTAGATAAAATCTCTCACACAATTTCAATTTCACACTTGTTTAACACTGTTAAACATCCTTTGTGGCTGGATTCTGTTGTAAAGTGCGAAGAAAACTATCGCCATACGCCCATGGTACCATATTGTCACAAGCATCAGGGGCCATTAAAATGATGGGAAGCAATTTCCTGGATATAAACCAACATAAAGAGTGTAAAGCTATCTTTGTCCCCATCTCCAGCTTTAATGAGTTCTTTTATGCAAATTTGGAGAAAAAACGCTCCTTGCCGAAAAGTTTATGAATGGGCATAAATTTCTGCTGGAATGTTTACTACTTTGTTTGTCAATAACAGTGATGTTA